AAAACGTGTTGTTTTTAATGTCAGTATGTGCATAACTACCAACAAAAGCCACACATCCAACAAAAGTTGGACGCCGTTACTAATAGATAAATTCCCAAACATCGGAAGCTTACCACAAGGAGCTTCTTCTTCCGTCATAGATTTCAAGCCAAACATACATACATGCAAGTGTGGACAGACTCATAAATACATATGTACATTAGTCCGTACCGCCTTGCAAGCAAACAAAAAAGTTCGCTGTACACCCCTGAGTCTAAGGTCACATATTCGGCATTTACATTGTCTCAAGGAGACATTTTTTTTGTTCCAAAGTTTATTGATCTCAAGTATCCAGTTCTAGAACTTCTCTGGCCAGGGACGTTCCAACGGAGGGAGAGAGAGTTGGGGTTGAAGGGGTCGGATGATCCGGGTGGGGGCGGTGGCCAACCACCGGATATAATATACAAAAGTGCCTCCCCCAATATACAAAAGTGTCAATAGAGTCTTAAGATATATAAATCGATTGTATGGAATGGCTATGGATGATTGTAACAAGACGTATCTCGCATATTTTTCTAAGCCTAGAATGAAGATAACTCTCGCCGCTTAGAGAAAACTGCTTGTTGTACGGCAGAAGTGTGATTATCAAATCAAGAAGAATTTTTAATTGTTATTTCTCAATTAAATGCTTAAAACAATTAACTAATTGTTAACTGCAGAAAATCACAATTTTGATTTTTATTTTCAGTTCACAATAACCCGGACTTTACAGTTTAAAATAATTTAATAGAGCAGCTAATTCTCTAATAAAAATAGTCCGTAACATAACTATGCGACACCCACATATTGACAAGTTTTGACTATTTATTTTATTATTTTTAATCTTAATTACTTTTTTCATAAAAATGTAGTTTGTTCGTTATCAAAGAAATTGTGTAAACCCAGGTTTAAAACTTTGTGCAATATTTGAAAAAAAAAACTCAACAAACTTTCACAAAAATTTCGATGTCTATAATTAGGTTCCTTAGAAAGATATTGAGTATGCACTTTTCTAGCCCATACAACCGTCTTCCAAAAAATAAGGAGGTTACCAGTTCGTCGGAGTATTTTTTTTGTTTTATGTATATTACCGCATAACTTTGGACCACGTCACCCGATTTCGGTAATTTGTTTTGAATCGGAAAGATAGTGTCTCGAAATTGGTCCCATACTGATCTGGTTTACACCCGATCATTGGATCATGGAATATATATATATGTATATTTTTATATGAGAATTGAATTCGGTTTTTTTTTTGCTTAAAGATTACTTGTTTTTCAAATATTGCACAAAGTTGGAAACTTGTTTTGATATGGTTTTTGTTAAAGACTAAAATTTAAGAACACAGCAAGAAACAAATAAATTTCAGAAAAAAACTTTATAACAGCGCTTAAAGATTTGCATGCCTGTTTATAATTTTTTAATATCACAAAGCAGAAAATTCGCGAGTTATTATTATTTTTTAACTCTTACATAATCAAAGTTTTGACAACTCCAAGTAGTTTTCTGTTTTAACGCCGAACCAGGAATGTATTCCAAGTACCATTAAGTATTTTAAAAACAAATAAAATTTTGACTTTCGTCCAGCTAGATCTGCCATCCGAACCACTGTGTGTCATAACGCCAGCAATAGTCAAATGGTTATCATGGCGACCGAAATCATTGAGTTAAACTAGAACTTTCATTTATTTCTTTTTTTATTAATTTTTTTTTTAAGTTCTATATTTTTTTAATGTTACTTTCAGTTAGTTGTGGTTGACTTTTTAATCAAATTTACATAAAATATAACAAATGAAAGTAAAATAAAGTAAAATTATTTATATAAACCAAATACAATATAAAAAAAATAAAATAAATATTAAAAACAAAAAAATGTTTGGCAACCGCCCCAACCGAAGATCGAACCTGGCCCCTATAGACTTGTAGCACGCAACTCTCACCATACGGCAACCGAGGACGCCAAACTCGCTTGCTTTGTTTTGCTTACTTAAGATCTGCAAATTAAGTAAACGAAAGACTTAAGAGACGAACTTTTCTGGCTCTCAGATGAGTATATATGTAATTAAAAAGAACAAAATCATTGTAATTGTATTTGCTTTAAAAAAAAGATGTGTTAAAAGTTATGCTAGCATGAAAAATACTTGAATGGTGTTAAAAGTCTATTGTGCTATAAGCAATCAAAAATATACTTAATTGCCATCAAGTTGAATCCCCCAGCTAACAGGGTCCTTGGGCCGTATTCTACTGGTATTGCAGAAATGAACAGTTCACTCTACACTGAAACTAAAATTTCGTAAAAATGCTACGAAAAACTTTCGTACTCTCGGTTTTTGTACAACGTACGAAACTTTTTACAACGAAACAAGATTTTACGAACCATTCGTAAATATAACAAGGGGAGTTTCTTAAGGCATTTTTTCAGTACAATTTATGAAAACTTTCGTTTATTTTACAAAACACATGTGTAAATTACCGAACAAATCTCTGTACCAACGATTTTGTATATTGCACGAAGGCATTCGTAATATTTACGTGTGGTTTTAAAATAAACGAAATCTGCAATTCTGTATTCGGTTTATTTATTTAATACTTTCGTACATAGTACTAAATAATGCAGAAGGGGCATTTCGCGTCAAGTATACAGGGAAAAGAGGTGATGCTTTAGAACTCCTTCATATTTTTTTTGGGGTAATTGTACTGTAATTATGAAATATGAAATTGTGTACACTTTTTTCTTTATATGACGGTTAATTTTCGAGTTATGGGCTTCCAAAGAATATTAAAAATTAAAATTAGGGTTTTTCTAAAGTATTTTTTTCATAATGAAGAGAAATTCAAAAAATGGATGGGCGGCATCTTGGACGACAAAACTATAATTTTCTGCAAAATCACACTTCTCCTTCGTCTAAATTTTCGCTAAGAGTTTTAAAATGAAGCGACTGTCAGAACAGAATATTTACACTTACGTTATTTCTAAGTATAACCTTTGCTTTTCTGAGAGTTGAAAGCGGAAAACAAAAATTAACCAAACTTCCATTACATTTGATGATTGAGCCCACATTTTTTCCGAGTTGCAGGCGTTATTGTGATCCACTCTTTCCCATATTTTATGTTTAGGGTTTTCTAACAAAAGAGGGAGCACAAACTAAATTTCATCGAAACCGAGCCAAATTTAATGTTTACGCCCCCAAGAGTGGAGGGCGTGGCAATTATCTCATATTTACCAAATGTCGTATTTGCCTGTTCCTAGGAAAAATTAGAGCACACATCAAGTTTCAGCGAAATGAGTGTGAATTTACTATTATTCCCACCTGCCTTCATATAGCCTAAACCCTGCGTCTCACTTGCGCAACATCAACAGTTTCTTGCATCTCCTGAACATTTAGGATTTTTCGAGTTGTGACTATTTTAGATTTAGGGTGCGAAATGTAGCTTCCTTTGTTCCTTCTCACAAACAATCTTCAAACATATAGGTTTTTTAGTAATTGATTACCTAGAAGTAGCGGTTTTACTTCAACTCGGCCAAAATTCTAAAAGCTTGCATAGAGTTCACAATTTCATTCGATAGAGATTTTGGTCAATGAGAAAAACTATGTATATCATACTATACTATATCAGACTTTGTTTTAATTATTCGTACAGTTTTCACAATACGCCCTTGAAACTGTGCAAGTAAAACTGATATTATAAAAAAAAAATATTTCAAACCGATATTGTCTGACTGTCCATTCCACATTGTATTTTTTTTGGCGTATTTCTGCACTTTCCAAATGTTCTGCTATTTTACCTATTATGCATTGCTACGTTTTCTATCCCTAGGCGCCTAGAAGAGGCAGAATTAATCTATATTAGTCTCTGTACTGTCATAAAGATCTGAACCTTAGAATAACTTTTAACATTTCATACAGTAATAAAACAGGTTGTCAGAGGTTCTTACTACTCCGTGTTTTAGTTTTATAATAACAGCGCACAGTGGTTGAAATCTGGAATTTAGAGTTCACAATTCATTGGAGCTTTCATTTTACACTCAATTTGATATTTATTTTTTTTTACTTAAAGTAATGAAATTTCCGAGAGACCAGTTGAGCTCGATTTGTGAATTTTTGTTTGCATTACATTTTTTAGTGCAAAATGCAGAAAAAGTAGCAATTTTGAAGAAAATTCTCCTGTGCCAGTTAATAAATGTTACATAATAACAACTATATGCATGAAAACAATTTTAGGTTTCCCCTAAAACGATAAAATTGTCAAAAGAAAAATTTTAAAGCTTATAAAAAAATGTTTAATGTTGATTTTAATATTTTTTTCGTTAACATTTCGAGCAAACCTGCTTGCTAAATTTTTATAAAAACAAAAAAAAAATAATTATTTTAGTGAAAATTATTTTATAACATTTAATATTTTTTTTTAATTCTTTTTCGTTTGGGGAGAACCCTGCAACAGGTTTTTATTATGTAACATTTATTAACTGGAGCAAGAGAATCCAATTTCTTCAAAATCGCTACTTTTTCTGCACTTTACACTAAACAATTTAATAGAAACAAACAAATATAAAAAAATCGGGATCAATTGGTATCTTGCAAATTTTATTAGTTTTCAATTAAAAGAAAAAAATTATGAATTTAAGTGAAAAATTAAGGCTCCAGTACATTCTGAACACGAAATTCCTGCCTTTTCGGCAGCCAATAACAAACCCCCCAGCGGACGTCTGCCGTAGAAAATCTTCTCAAAAAGTCCCTTCGCCGTTCGTAGTCGGAGTGAAACAGTAGGACCCTCTATGAATGTTATAACTTAATGACGAACGTCACAAATTGAAGAAGTTCCCGCAGGCACTTAGCAAAAAATGTGAGCGCCAAATATATTTTTTTAATGTTAATTTTCTGAACACTATTTATTTTTTGTATTCTCATACATACATATGTATGAATGTATGTATATAGAATTATTATATTACGTTAGTAATCGATTATATTTGTATGCAGGTTGCTGCGGTCCTGTTCAAGCATCAGAATGTCCAGAAAAAATAGGTGAGCAGGCGTACGCACACACTCAACGATGTGACCAATTTTTCTTATGTACAAATGGCACCCTGACTTTGGAAACATGTGAGAACGGTCTTTTGTTCGATGGAAAGGGATCAGTACACAATCATTGTAATTATAATTGGGCTGTTGACTGCAAAGGACGACAATGGGATCGTAAGTGCTTCAAAATGTTTGAGTATTAATTCACCATGCAATGTAATATTTTTTTTGTTTTCGAAATAGCGACACCAATTTCAACACCGGGTTGTGAATACCAATTCGGCATTTATTCAGTCGCAAAGGAGTGTTCTACTACGTATATTAAGTGCGCATACGGAGAACCGATCGAACAAGAATGTGACGCTGGATTGGCTTATGATGAGCGAACTCACGGTTGTAACTGGCCCGACCAGCTTTTAGACATTTGTAATCCAGAAGGTAAGTGACCAGAAATAGCTTAGAAATTTAAATGGTAATTTCCTCAATAATTTCTCCCAACTTAATTTATTTTTCATCAGCGGTCGTGGGTTTCAAGTGTCCAACAAAAGTTGATTCTAGCTCCCCAGCAGCACGCTTTTGGCCGTTCCCACGTTTTGCTGTCCAAGGAGACTGCCACCGTTTGATAACTTGTGTTGAAGGATTTCCTCGTTTAATAACATGTGGTGAGGATAAAATTTTCGATGAAAGCACACTTACTTGTGAAGACCCGGAATATGCATCCTCAAAATGTAACAGCCTTGGAAAATAATCTGGTTAATTCGCATACTACGATTTTTAAAACAATCTATTTCTGCCTTTTCCATGTTAATCTATGTATGTATGTATGTACATACGTATGTGCATATACATTTTTTGTACTTACTGTCCAACTAATATGTATTTCTATCTATTCACGAAATTTTCCGATAGTATAAAATAAAAAATAAAACAATAATTAGCAATCTTGTAAAAATGTAACATATGTATGTATTTGAATTTGATATTTAAAATTAAAATTAAATGCAATAAATTTTATTTAATTAAAATAAAGTTATTTTATGCAAGCTGCGTTCTGCTAATCCCGA